CTTCTACAGAGGTTTATGTTTTTGCAAGAAGCAGTTTAGCTGCACATACACCTTCCTCGCCAAACGTGCAAAAACGACTCCGCAAAACCAATTAAAAACAGTACGTTTATAAAGAACAACGCAATTAATGCCGTCTCGCGCGCTTCGTGCTGAACAATATTTCAGGAGATAGTCCATCACGAACAAACGCCACAATTACAGTATCAAAATATATATAAACAATCCTTCTTCTTATAAAAAAAAAAATACAAAAAGTTTGGATATGCCGGTGGACAAATCAATCGATTACTCTGACAATTACCGAGTGTTTTAGAGCGGTTTCTTCTATTTCATTATCCTCAAACACATCTGGATAAATAGGTAGCCTGTCTTTGGGGCACTCTTCAAAATAGCTCCTGACATACTTCCTAACAGACCATCCTTTATATTCTCCAGGTTTTTGGCATTCTAAGCCATTATAGTGAACGTTGTAATGGTGCTTCAGCCAGTAGAAAAGATAATGGATGTTGTAGTCGCATCGCCAAGGGTTTTCTTTAAGCCGCAGTATTTTCAAAAAGTACAAATGTTCCAAGACTCCATATTCAATATTTTGCAGAGAATTGCTTGATAGGTCTAGTTCTTCCAGATTGATGAGCCCTGCAAAAGCAGCTATTCAAAAAAAAAAAAAATCAAATCAAAAAAATCAAATCAAATAAAAAGAATAACATTTAGTGACGACAAATAAATGACATCTCTGTTTAGAAATGTTTGTAATACTCGTACGCTGGTGGACATTAATTGGGGGCCTATTTGGATAGATTGACGAGTCCTGCAAAAGCAGCTATTCGAAAAAATTAAAAAAAAACCAAATCAGATTAAAAATAATAACATTTAGACATGACAAATGAACGATGTCTCTGTTTAGCAATGTTTGTAGTGCTCGTACGCTGGTGGAAATTTATTGGGGACCTATTCGGATAGTCGGCGTTTTGCTGTAATAAACCAAAATGCAAATCATAACTCTTTAATTTCTCCCTTTGCTCGAATTAAAAACCGGGCAGTGTTTACGCCTTACGTCTCTTTAGAATGAGACATGGGTGGTTCATATTTTGATTTTGGCGAAGGAAGCAGAAATGAAGCGACTGACAGAGGCATGGAGAGAATCTGGGTGGGTGTAAGTTTGTAAAATTATTTTATCGTTTGTATTGTGCTGTATTTTCTCGGACTTGACTTAGGATGTTGTGTGCATCCAGTCACCGTGAATTTTAAACATTGTTTTGGATGACACAAACCTAAATACCTGTGGGTTAATCAGCAATCTAGGATTTACAAGCCACAGCAAATGACAGTCACTATAAGGTTTCGGTGAAAGAGCTATGAATAAAACCCCTCATAAGATACTCAAGCACAGTCCAGAATTATATGTTTCTCATTGACCTCCATGTTGTCTAAGAATGGCTACAAACCAAATTTAGCTGAAAAATTTGGGTTCTGTTGAGGACTATCTGTATAAGGATAGTTTGCCAGAATAAAAAGGAAGATAAGAGGGCCTGGGCCTGATGTAAACTGTATTAAAATATATTTTTCTTTCTTTTCTCAAGCCATCATCTCTCTTCTTTATTCTTTCTGATGCCTTTCCTCTGCGTTGCGTAACTTGGCTAATTTGAGAGATATTACCGTGGTGGTTACTTATGTGTCTGGATGTAATTATAGTTGTTCTTTAGGCTAATTGGATGGAGAACACAGTACAGGTATCCCTCTTATTAATTCCCCCCAGCTTGTAGTGACTGAAAGGAGCTAAAGAATTCTTTTGGAGCGAATCTAACATTTCTTATCTCCTTCTTTTGAAAAGTAAGTCTTCCACGTAGCACAAAGTTGTGCGAATCAGAAAGAACACCGAATACAGTAGGGGTCTTCAAACTTGGCCCTTTTATGACTTGTGGACTTCAACTCCCAGAATTCCTCAGCCAGCATGGCTGGCTGAGGAATTCTGGGAGTTGAAGTCCACATAGTCATAAAAGGGCCAAGTTTGAAGACCCCTTGACTTGTGGACTTCAACTCCCAGAATTCCTCAGCCAGCGTGCCTGGCTGAGGAATTCTGGGAGTTGAAATCCACATAGTCATAAAAGGGCCAAGTTTGAAGACCCCTTGACTTGTGGACTTCAACTCCCAGAATTCCTCAGCCAGCGTGCCTGTCTGAGGAATTCTGGGAGTTGAAGTCCACAAGTCATAAAAGGGCCAAGTTTGAAGACCCCTTGACTTGTGGACTTCAACTCCCAGAATTCCTCAGCCAGCGTGCCTGTCTGAGGAATTCTGGGAGTTGAAGTCCACATAGTCATAAAAGGGCCAAGTCTGAAGACCCCTGGGATACCGTCTGATAGGGAATATGACCCAAATTATATTTATAAATATAAATATATTTATAAATATATAAACGTGTTTACGTTTACATCTCTGCCTAAAGCAGCTTTAAGATGCAGGGACTACACTTCATTCCCTCACTGAGGAATTCTGGGATTTGAAGTCCACCCGTTTCAGTAGCCCAGTTGGAAAAAAAAACACTGACCTAAAGAGTTAATTTTAATGATTTGTTCCAAACCTTGCCTACGTTGTTTGGATCTTAACCAATAAGCAAACTATCAAGTGTATTTTTTTTAATTTAAAAAAAAAAGCATTTCACGAAGAAACGTTGCATCATAAAATTGCAGACGAAATGCAATTGTAGCTTTAAATATTTTTTGTTCGGATCTTCATGAAGTTTGCTTACCTGGGTCTATATGAATTAGTCCGTTGCTACTGAGATTTAACACCCTCAAGTCATCTATTTCTTCAAACTCCTTGGGTCGTAGTAAAGTGATTTTGTTACTGGAAATGTCAAGCTTAACCGTGTCTGGAGATATATTGCTTGGGACTTTTTTTAAATCTTGAGAGGAAAAAAAAACAACACAATTACAGGGAGATATTTACATTATAAACTTGATGTTCCGTGTTCTACATCTAGGTTTTTTTTTTTTCCCTCTCTTGCTATCAGTCGGATGAACACCTAATCCCCACAGCACTATCTTAGGCCTAAGGATATTTACTCATGTAGTAGCGCTGTATTACTTTTACCCTTCTCATCTTTCCCATTACCTTCCCCTATTGCAGGGGTAGGCAACTTTGGCTCTTTTATGACTCGTGGACTTCAACTCCCAGAATTCCTCAGTCGGCCATTTTGATGACACTGCTGGCTCAGGAATTCTGGGAGTTGAAGTCCACGAGTCACAAAAGAGCCAAGGTTGCCTACTCCTGCATTGGTATCTTGTAATTCTACTACTCCATTGCTTTGCATCTAGGCTGAGAGCTTCTGCACCAGGGAAAAATTCCTTCTGTGTCCAATCCCACTTGGCCCACGAAGAATATTCTATATTCTGCATTCTATTAGCAAAAGTTTTCCATACTATTTCCAAAGTTTTCAATGGCACCGTTGGGTCTTTTTACTTTTCAAAAGTGATACCCAATCACAGGTAATCCTTGACT